TGTTTGCGTATCTTCTACTTGCGCGTTGCATTTAGAGTACACTTTTAAAATTTCAATCCATCTATTTGATTGTGTTCTAAAACACGCACATAAATTCAAAATGTCTGCGCCCAGAGCGGCTTCAAAGCGTCTCTGCGCGCAAGAATAAAGAGTTAGCGCTCTAGTAATTTAATATAGCTCTATGTCATTTTGGCATCTTTGTACTCAGTGATCTGCCTTCTAGATTTATTTCCACAGAGAATCAACGCGCATACCTTATCACATCCCTTGAACTAAAGCCGTGTTCCCATTGGACTTTTTTGGTTAAAGTACCGCAACTTTTCTGTAGAATGACAAAATTAAATCCAATGGGGACACACGGTAAACTGACGTCCCTGTCAACTTACCGCGACCGTGATGTAAAACTAACAGGCCGAAAGAGGACGCGGAAGACTTCCGCGCAGCCACGGTAACTTAACAGGGCCGCTAAAAAGTCCAATGGGAACGCTCCGCGCTGTAAACCTACCGTGTCCACGCTGTAAAACGCTATGCAAACAACAACACTTCCTGTATACACAGAATTCGCGCGAAAATGGTAGTATGGTTCCCTGTCTCGTTTGCACTGATGGCGGTGTGATATTATCATCGTACCGTACACAGCGTGTGTAGCATGCACTACGCTCAGCTGCAGCGCTTTTTTCAATCTCGTCCAGCTGCTGCAGTTTCGCTACTTTACTAGTTAGAAACATGGCAGATTTGATCGATTTTGTGAGGAGTTTAATTGGCTAGATGAACGTGAAAATGCTGATGAAGGCACAGGAGAAATGACGTGGCCGACTAAATCAGCGCGCGAAAAATACGTCATTCCACAGAATTTGCCCTTTTACACATGTACAATAAAGTCAATGTATGGGAATAACAAATTATGAAGAGCTCATTTTGAAACGAGACTTTTTGTGCATGTTAGGCATCTCTCAAAAGTAGCTATGGTGTTACATCTACAATCTACATGAAGATTAGATTCATTGTTATTGGCAGACTCTTATCGTCTGTTATACTTGCATCTTATTTGTTGGTACATGTATGGTGAAGCAAAGTTCATTTTAAAAATTCCATTTTTACCCCTCAGCCGAGAGGCTCGAGGGGTATTGTCATCGCCTACGGTGTCCATTTTTATGTCTGTATGTCGTATGTAGTTTCCGGATGATAACTTCAGTTAGAAATGTTGTTTGGGATTGTAACTTTGGTAGGGGGTTGCCCTTAGGAGTAGGCAAGTTGGGATAGGTTTTGAGGTCAAAAGGTCAAAGGTCAAGGTCACCATGTTGAGTTAAAGGTTAATGGTTTCCGGATGATAACTTGACTCTGGCTGAGGGTTTCAACAGCAACGCTGTTATTATATTTTTAGCTAATATAAACATGTCTTGTTCATTTAGAACTTGCTTGAGATAAACTTTCACCAAGTACAGAAAAACATTTCTGTAGCAATTTTTAATATTTGTTGAGCTTTGTATCAAGGGCAATTCCATGAAACTTGGCTGAAATGAAAAAATTAATGAACTCTTCAAAATAACAAGCTTCACAGCCTCAGATGTGGTATCAAATTAATGTGACAAGATCTTTCATTTGAATAATGTGCCAATGAGATGGATGGTCAAGTGGTTTTTTTTTAGGGGGGGGGTAAAAAACCTGGTATTTTACCTAAGTTTTTTTTTAATTTTAGGTACTCATTTTGGCACCTTGTGTTAAATGCAAGTCTTATCGTGTGTTTTTGTTTTAAATTAAGAGAAAAGGTTTCATGGCTATTTTCAAGGGTATTGTCAAAAGAGTTTGTTGTTTGATAGTTTCTTAAATGTTGAAACTTGTACCAAAGATGGGTGAACAAACTGTAACGTGAGTTACCGTAATGTATCCCTCTACAGATTTCATGAATAATTTTTTTAAAATAATAGTAATGATAGAATATGACTTATTACCTAATGGAAAACTTTCAAATGAAAGGCATTTAATTTTTTTCTTTGTCCTTTTTGTGTAATGTGAGTCCCAGATAAAAAGTTATTCCCAAACCAACAGAATTGTATAATAAAAATATTGCCCTTTTTTGTGGGTTTAATCATTTAATTTCAAATGACTTGTGAAAAAAAAATCCACCCTAAATGCTTTGACTTTTTAGAATAACAGCACAAACATGTAGTTGAGCGAAGAGTACCCTCTCCAAATGTAGCGTGAGTTGCCATGGAATTGCCCTCAAATGCTTTTTAGGAGGAGTACCACCCTAACAGTCCTGTATCCTACAATTTTAATATGATTTATCAAGGTAATTGATGTAAAGTGTCCGTACGTTAAAGGGCTGAGGTACACAGTATTTGGAATGGACATACCCGGTACATGTAGATAGTACACGTACACTGCACATTATGTATTCCATAGGAAAGGAAACTGTCCATTGACTGGAATAGCTTGGCAACAGCTTCCTGCTTGGCTGCTACAAAGCACTTGGTCTATAGTACTTCCTGTATTGCTTACATTCTGTATAGCAATCAATCGCAGTTGCTTCTTCCTCTACCTATTAAATATGAATGCAATTTCATTGCATTATGAAATATCTACACAATAGTATACTCCTTGGCCAGTGCATGCAGTTGCAATTACATATTTGTTATATGTAAGCCGTTTAGTTTTGATGTTTACATAAATTTGTTAACATTTTCATATTCCGAGTTATGTGTTAATCAATCAATATTCATGGCTTGGTTTTTTGTATTTTCTGAGGGTTATTACAATTTGATTTTGAAATTTCAAAATGAATTACATGTATCTTAATTTTGCACAAATTACCGGTACATTCTCATCAGTAGATTTAAGTTGATTCAAAGCTTAATTACTGTTAATTACAATGCATTTCTTGACTTGCTTTTCAATTAACCAAAAACCAACCGCGTTCATGTAGAACAGCAGATGTGTGAATAAATTGTGCATTTGATGATAAAAGCGTGAAATGTGGCACATTGTTAGAAAGTACATGTACATACATGTACATTACCTTCAATAGGATTTTTGGCTATGGGGCTATCTCAGATTTGCCCTTTGGTACATGTACATCAAGTCCATTATAGTGGGAGGACAATGTGGTAGATGTACATGTACCATACCTATACATTTACCTACACTGTACATTGGCAGGTAATGCAAAATATCAATTTCAGTTAGTAAATGTCATGGTTACCATAGCAACTGATAAAAAAGTAATTAACCTTGGCATCCAAAATCACCGCTAGAGGGCGCTATATTAATTTGAGGGCAAATTTTTTTTGTGTTGAGTTGTTCCAAAATTTGAATCTTTTCAACCAAAATCAGCACAGATACCGGTAGAGAACAAATGGTAATGTTATCAAATACTTTCAAATTTATAGATGCTTTGCATTTTTCATGCAAGTAATGTACAAAAAGTATCCAAAACTAAACAAAATTGTGCAAATTAATGTACACGTACCGGGGTAAGCAGCTTTTGGTGCAGATTGCAGCAATATTGGACTTCAAGCATTCATTGTACATGTAGTTGGTCATGTGACCATGAATTTTAGTCTAATGTGGATACTTGATGGGGATACAATGTAGGTTCGGGCAAAGAAAATATGGTTTTGGCTCACTAAAATACATCTTATACATAACGAACAAACTTTTATTTGTTGTGTTTGTTATTTTGTTATTATTTGTTGTATTTGCTGTGTTTATCGGGCCATTATCGGTGACCAGCCCTCTACCCGGTCTACCACTGTTATTCCCATTAAAAAAATACCTTTTTGGTCAAAAACTTCGAAGAAGAAAAAATAGCAAAATTCTGACCATCTTTTGTTCAAGAATTTTACCTTAAATTGCTACATTGTATCCATGTTCATGGCCCATTTCTATGAATTGAGCGTGTGATTGCTGTTCCAGCAACGAGCCCCCAAAGTTTCCCCAAAAATATAAAAAAACTATACACAAATGACCAAAAT